ACAAAAGCGAAAAAAAAAATTAGAAAATATAAAGATAATGGGAGATGAAAACTGTCATTTTATGCGATAGTGCTATGGCCTGCATATTTTTCTATGGTTTCCTGTCGAAAGATACTTGTTTGCTTGAACTAAGAATTAGGAATTTTAGAAAGCACTATTTAATCGGAAAAGTTGCTGCACTTTTTTTTTCTAATTTTTTTTAATTTTAGTTTTGTTTTATTTCTTTTGATATATCAGAAAAGTTACTTTTTTTTCAATTTTTAATTTATTATTTTGTTTCTTTCTTTTCACTTTATTCAAGCAAAAAGTTATTTAATGGGAAGAAAAAGGTGTGTAAAAGGTGGAATTAAAACGACAGTAGAGGATTGGGAGGAGGGAAAAGGCAGCAACAACCTTCTTCTGTCTCAGTTTTTTTCTGTTTCTTCTGTCTCTTTCTTTATTCTCATTTTTATTTTTTTCCTCTTCAAAAAATTCCTTTGGCGATGATAAGGGCGGAATGTTTTGCTTGCTTTTGAAGGAAATATACAGCAACAGAGGATGTTAATTATGCATCACACGTAACACGCAGTTCCTATCGGTCAGAATCGGTCACACATCGAAGTGGCGAAAGGGGACGAAGTTCGTCATCCGAAATTATTAGTGTTCGTCAATTTTTTTTTTACTGTATTTGCTTTGTATTGCTTGAACTTCTACTCCTTATCAATCATTAAATCAATTTTCTTTGACGAGCTGTATTGTTGTTAGCAAAAGTAAGGCAAAGGAAATTCGGGGGATTCAGATGCTGATAAGTAGCATTTTTTCTTAATTGAATGATTGAAATTAATCAATTATGAAACAGCCGTAAAATATTTTTGCATTTTAAGTATGTATCACTGTTTGTGCATTTAAATTTTTTCTATTACAAGTATTTGTTGAGGAATTGACTTTGACTAATTAATGTTTTTTCTTTTCTTCTGAAACCATCTAACTAGGTAATTGATAGTTTAGTGATGAAGGAAGTTTTATCCTATGAAGCAATTATGAACAAGAGTTAAAAAAATACAAAAAAAAAGTTGCTTTAGAGCAGGGTCAAATTGTTGAAGTTTTGGACAAAAAAAATGCGTCATCATGGCTTATTAAGACAAAGGTGAAAACTTTGTTTATAAAAGATGATAGTCTGAAAAAAAAATCTTTTTTGAACGTCTGATCTACGTATTGTATTATCTACGGCAACTACAGTTACGAAAACAACACAACATTGTACTTGATTTTTTTTTTTTTTTTT